TATTTTAACTTTGCCCTTATCTTAAGGCTGCCACCTTATAATAAGTTCTGTTAGGGTAGTTCTCAAAGGATGTTCAAGAACGTAAAACATCATTAGCATCACCTGAGCTTCTGCTAGAAATTCAGCTCTTCAAAGGCTATGCAGGCCTACTAAAACAGAAGTCCTAGGGACAGAATCTCCCAATTTGGGTTTTAAGCCTCTCAGGTGATTCTGATACACTCAGGTTTGAGAAACACTGTCAGTCTTCAGAACTAGCTCTTTATAGAGATCCAGCTGAGATCTGTGTGAGAGGCTAGGGAGGCAGAAGGGTCAACTAGAAACAGTGAGGTTTTTCAACTAGGCAGACCTAGAATCAAACTGGAATTCCAGCACCCTCTAGTTGTGTAGGATCTTAAGCAAGTCACTTAACTTCCTCATAAAGAAAATAGAAACAATAATACCCACTTTGAAAGGTTACTATGAATACTGAAGTTTATGTATCTCTGTGATAATCAGGAGTGTTGGCTGTAATGTCAGGCCTAGTTCAAAATGTCAGCTCTATCACTGCGTGATCTTGGGCAAATGACTACACCTCTGTGCTTCAATTTTCTCATTTGTAAAGTGATTACTCTTACTTCACAGGTTTTGAGGATTCAATGTGTTTATTTGTATATATATGTGTGACTTATATAGTGTATATATAAATTTATAGAATTGCTTAGAGAATGCCTACCCCTTAAGTGCTCAATAACTGTTATCTCTCTATAATAGAAGAAATACAAATACAACAATAATCAATACCTCATGCAAATAAAACACCTTGACTCGAGTATAGTAGATATTCAATATTTGGTAACAGTAATTATTACTGTAACTATAGAATTCTTTCCCATAAAGTGTAGGATTGTAGAGTTTCTAGTATATGGGGACCCCTGATACCTTCACATATTATTTATATTCTAATGTCTTCCCTCTCCTCTGAATAACTTCAATAATAATAATACCAATATTAATTGCCTTTTCTTGATAGTATACTATAGTTAGGTAACATGCAATGATTGGGGGAGACAGTAAAGAGTAGATGGGACCTTCTTGTACTTTTTTTTTCAATTCCTGTGATTACTTAAAAATAAAATTTTTTAAAAATAGGGTTATAAATGTCTGAAGTAAGTAATCAGGTGGACATTGGGGGGGAAAACTCAGTTTTTCTCCAATTAAATTGTCAAAACTAAGTTTGTTTGTTTATATTTGGTAACAGGGATTGAACTCAGAGGTGCTTTACCACTGAGCAATACCCCAATCCCCTTTTTTTTTTTTTTTAAATTTTGAGATAGGGCCTTGCTACGTTGCTGAGGCTGGCCTTGAACATTCGATCCTCTTGTACCAGCTTCCTAAGTCACTGGAATTACAGGTGTGTACCACCATGCCTGACTCAAAACTAAGTTTTTAAAGAAATAAGCTAAATAAATACTAGGTGATTCACCTCTCTCACTTTAATATTAATTTTTAACTCATCTTCATCTTTTCATTCAGAACTTTAGTCAAAATAAAGAAGTCATCTTCTCCAGTCTCCCCAGGTTATAAGTCAGAAAAGTCTGGCAATGGAGAGAAAGGAGCAAAGTCCTCTAATACCTGGTCGATTTTACTTTCCAGAGAAAATAAAGGGACATTCTTGTATTAGCCCATTTTATATTCGATTAAAGAAACACCTGAGGCTGGGTACTTTCTAAAGAAATTTTAGAAAAGAGGTTTACATAGCTCACAGTGGGGAGGCTCAAAGTTCAAACAGCATAGTAATGGCTCTGGTGAGGATTCCCCAGCTTTATCACATGAAGACAGATGGCATCAGGGACAAAGTGAGTGTGAGAGGGAAAGATCACACACAAGGTGTGACAGATAGTCAAAGGGAGGAGAGAGGCCAGGTTTGCATTTTTTACAACAACCTAATCTTGAGAACTAACTCAGGGTCACATGAGAAGTACCTTAATCCCTTCCCAGGGCAATTACCCAAAACATCTAATCAACTCCTACTAGGTCCCACTTCTTCTCCCCACCCCCTCAGTATTTTTTTTAGTTGTCAATTGACCTTCATGTTATTTATTTATTCATTCATTCTATTTATTTATTTATTTATATGTGGTGCTGAGAATTGAACCTAGTGCCTCACACTTGCTGGGCACTCTACCACTAAGCCACAAACCCAGGCCCTAAGTCCCACTTCTTAAAGGTCCCACAACCTCTCAACATTACCACACAAGTGACCAAGTTGCCAATACATGAATATTTGGGAAACAAACTACATCTAAACGATAGCAATTACCAAAGGTTCAATATTTTTCTCTAAAATAAGATCTAACCCAACTGTCCTAGCAACATGTATATTTCCTTCTTTTTTTCAGCCAGTACTACCCAAAATATTGCTCAAGAAATCATACATAATTAAAGGTATTCCCCAAATATAGAGACCAAAAAATCCATATTAGAGATTCTATAATCCTCAACTTAATGTATACATGAATAGTCCAAACTGCTGAAATAATTAAAAATTACAATTCCTTTTGAGATGACCATCTACCAACTGAACCCTTGTGTGAGGTTTCACAATCCCCTCACAAATCTGTTGCAGAACAGAAAACTTCTTTATTCAAGACTTTAAGAGAACTTCATGATACACTGAAAGCAAATAGCTCTATAATATTTTAGACTTTCCCTATACCAAAAATAATAAGTTGGGGGTATTAAGTTACCTAATATTGAATAGGCTATTGGAAACAGGTCTTAAATGTAGAGTAGGTTTTATAGTGCTTGGTTATAATAACTATATCTCATACGCTCCAAAAACCTCTTTATTAAATTAGTCCATATTTTTTATGGACTTGAATTTTTGTGTCTCTCCCAAAATTCATGTTGAAATTCTAATCCCCTATGTGACAGTATTAAGAAGTGACACTAAAGGTAATGAAATCATGAGAGAGTTTATTCTCTGGCGGCTCTCTACCACACGAAAATACAAAGAGAAGATAAGCCATCTACAAGCCAGGAAGAAAGCCCTCACCAGTTACTAGATCTGCCAGCACCTTAATATTGGACTTCATGTCCTTCAAACTGTCTGCTTTTTAAGCCACCAAGTATATGTTTAACTTATTATAGCAACCCAACTAAAATAATGTCAAAATGGTATTAATAGTTATGCAGTTTACTACTTCCTTAGCTCAACAAATTAAATTTCCCAAACCTCCTAACCAGACTTAGTTGAAAAACAAGTTAACACTTCTTGATATAAATGTACATTGAGTTGTTATTACTTCTAATTTACACTGTTTGATCTAAAATTTGATTTGATATCCATACTAATTTCAGGATTAAAATTTAAGGAATAAGTCAGGCATGATTCAGGGCAAGACATGCCCTGCCCCCACATTTAAAAGCAGTTGGACACACTTTGTTAAGACAGTTTTCTTTAATTATAATTCATAGGTAATCTGTTTGCTGGCTTAAGTTTTTCACTTGAAGTTGTTACTAGTTTTTTGCCAACAAGTTTACATGTTTGGTGTCTGTACTTACAGTTCTTCTGATATAGAAGATAAATAATTTATCAAGGAAGTTTTTCAGGGAGTTGGTAATAGTTCTAAATGCAGATTGGCCACCTAACTGGCAAGAACATACAATGTGCTGAGTACTACTGCATTCTATATATACATAGTGTACAAAATAAATATGATCCTTGATTTCAAAGAGCTTACTGTCTGGAGAGGAAGGCAGACCTCAGCCAGACATTAGACAAATAAAATTATAAGATGTGTTTAATTATTATTTGGATTACATCTCTCCCAGTTGGTAACAGTCGTCAAACCCATTTAAGGAGTATTCTGCAAAGAGAATTTTGGGCTGTTTTATTATCAGATATAACCAGTTGTAGATGGAAGACATGAAGACCTACACAACAGTAGACAACTCCATGAACTTCATCACAAAAACTATCATAAAATTTATTTCCAGAAGTACAAAGTATTCACCTATACTGCACGTTGACAGGATAACTTCTAATAGCAGAATAGAATTCATCAATGCATTTTTTCCTTGAATCCTACTTATAAACAAATCCATGATGGTGAAAAGCACACATGCTTTACAACTTAATTTTCTTATCCTAAACTTTTAAATACATCAGTACTCTAGCATTCAAATATAATTCTTTTTTAATTAAACAAGTCTCTGGGAAATAAAAGTTTACATTCTTACCAGTTTTATTTTAAGGTCTGCATTTAATTTACAATCAAGTTAATCTTCGGTGTGAATTATTTCTAGGCATAGATTGTTTGCTAAGTTTATTTTCTAAGTTTATTTTTACCTTTCCTTCATTGTAACACCTTCAAGTGACTTCAATAGTATTCCAGTGCTGAGTTCTATAAACCCACTGACTTTCTTCAAAAAAAAAAAGCATATATGTATATATATATAATATAAATATATATAAATATACATATAAAACATATATATATATATGTGTGTGTGTGTGTGTGTGTATAACAAAACAAACGAAAACCCTCCTTTGCCTTAAAAGTGTTTCTTTAAGAAACGCTTCCACTTTAAACGTTTATTTCTGTATTTTGCTCCACCATAACAAAATATACCAGACGGGACCAAAAGTTTAAAAAGTTCCAGAAAGGGTTTGTGTTAGGGTCTCTTCCTCCTACCTTGCCACATAGAAATACATTCAATGTCTCGGTTCCCCGCTCGCATCCTAATTGCTATTTCACGTAACACTGTATCTTTGGGATACTGCATCTTCTTTTTTGAAAAATCTAAGTACATTCTTTTGTGTTTGCGTTATTTTTGCCCCTGCTACCCTTGGAATTCATTTCTTTTCTCAAGAGTTACAATGTTACATGGCTATGTGCCACGATCCCCGCCCTGCAGAAGTTTGCATTTTGTGGCCAAGTAACTTCTTCAAGTTTCTATGAGGAAACACCTAGGAAGCGGTATCATCACAGGCTCATCAACTCTACCTAGTTTCCTACCTGTTGCGGGTACTCAGGATAAATCCAATTCATCTAACGGACCGCTTTTCTTTTCCATCACCACCCTCTCACTTTGCTCAGCGCCTCCGGAACGCTTGTAGCCCCTGCCAGTCCTCAGCTCCAGACCTGGCCCTTGGAGGTTTGGCCCTATCCGGCGTGGAGCCAAGGCGCAGCTCTCTCTCCTCGAAAAGCGAGCGGAGCGCTCAAGAAATGCCCTGGAAGAGAGGGCGCACCAGAGGAGAAAAGAACGTTACTTTGACCCTGGACCCCAGACGTTTGGGGCTGCCCTGACAACCGCAGCAAACCAGCTTGTCCCCACCCAGTCTCCCGGCTTCTCCTTCTTTTACCCTCTCTCCTCGCAAATCTACTTTCTCTCACTTCCTCACCCTCTCTCCGGAGATACTAGGTCCCTCCCAGCGTTACCCTCACCGCACCCCTCCTTTCCCCTCCCACTCACCCAGCCCTGGGCCGTTTCCTCCCAGCGTCGCTTTCTTCCCCTTTCTGTTCGCTCTCCATCGTCCCTTCTGATTGGCCGAGCGCACCGGAGCCTGGTTGGCCAATCGGCGAGCTGGACTGGTGGCGATGGGCGTGGCCGCGGCGCCGGGGCTCCCATATCGAGGCTGCCTCCCCCTCTCAGCCGGCCGCACATTCCGCCGCCGTTGCCGCCGCCCGGCCCCGCAGTTGTCTTCACCGGAGCTGCTGTCGTTCTGGGGTTAGGGAGGGGGGGCGGGCGGGGAGAGCAGGAGAAGGCCGCGGCGGAGGCAAGTGAGAGGAGGAAGGAAGCGGCCGCCCGGAGGGCATAGCAGCTCAGGCGGCGGCCGGGTTCCTGGGAGTGTCGGTGCGGCGCGGTGGTTGGGGCGGATCCCGCGGGGCCCGGGCGGGGGAAGGAGTCACCGGCCCGGCCATGGCGGACAACGAGAAATTAGACAACCAACGGCTCAAGAATTTCAAGAACAAAGGCCGTGACTTGGAGGTAAATTCCGGGGCGCCGGCGGGTGGGGGCCGTGGGCCTTGGGCCGGTCTCCGCCGGGACTCCGAGTGCAGGGGGTAGGGGCGGGCGCCGCCGCCGGGCCGCGAGGGAATGGCGCTGGGGGCCGGCCCGTCGGTGACGCCTCTGCTAACGCGCCGGGAAGTTTGTGTAGGGCCTGCTCCGCCTCCGCCCGGGAACGAGGTGCCGGGGCACGGCTGGCGCGGCCTAGGCCTGCCCCGTGGAGCCGACCAGCTGCGGGTGCGAGGGGCTGGGCCGCGCGGCGGGGAGGCCGGGCGCAGCGAGTGCGGAGTAGGCGTGTGTGTGTGTGTGTGTGTGTGTGTGTGTGGCCCGCGCTGCCCCCCTGCCGCGGCCAGCTCCCCGGCAGCGGCGGAGATTCCTGCTCTCGCTCGGGCACCGCCGTCTGGCGCCGCGGGTAGAAGGGAGTTGCGGGAGGCGAGCGTGTGCGACCGAGTGGGGCTCGGAACTTCCTCAGCGAGACCCAAGGCGTCTCCACTTAAAGGCATTTTTTCTGGTCTTCCCGACTCCCGCTTTACCCCTGCCTCCCCTCAATGTCCAAACTACAGGAGTCAACTTCTCCGTTGAAAAAAACACCCCCGGCGTGAGAGGCCATCCTGGTGATGCTAACAGTGCCTTCCAGCGGCCTGTGTTTTACTCTGGATATAGCTGATTCAAGATGTGGCTCACGGTGTGCCCACTTCCAGGCAAAGGATACCCCTTATTTCAGCTTGTTCACAAATCTCTTTAGCCCCTCCTGAGAGACCACCAGCTGCATTCTTACATTTAAAGTCCAAAGGGTTATACAAAGCTGTCATCCTCTAGTCTACAGTATCCTTTCCCTCCACCTGCTGGTGGTGGTAATGGGGGATGGGGTGGGCTGTGGAATGGCACCATCACGTTTTATGATTTTAAAAAGAAAAAAAAAAAGCTTCATTGTCTTAGATTCAGCTGCTTCCGAAATTGTCAGTCTACATAAGGTGTTATGTGTTAAATGCACGCACTCACCGCCGAGATTTTTGATAAAATACTTCATCTCAGCTTTAAGAATTTAGGTTCCTAATTTTTTAATCCATTCTGAGTCAGGAGTTTAGCTTTTAAGAAAAAGTGGTAAAGTAGTATATTTTATGTTGTCCCTCTGCATATTTTAATACTGTGATCTTCAAATCCCTATGATGTTTGTCTAATCTTGATTATTTAATTGGTTAAGTTAGTAACTTTTTTTGAGCTTTCCCAAAACTATTCATCTTTTAAGGTAGTTTGTGTTCCTTTAGTGGTTTTCATATTTTGAGGGAGTACATGTCTGGAGGTGTGGCTATTCTCTGATTGTGTTAAGGTTAACATGAGAATGATTGCCCTGTTATCCTTCTAATGAAAAGAACTCTTTATTGAAATAATTAACATGCCATAAAAGTCAGTACAGTTTATGACTTTAAGGTTGTGCAAGAATGTGATGGAAATTTTTTTTTTTACTAATATGAATATTTAGAATGAGAAAAAAAATCACAACCTTAAAAACTGATAAATATCACAGTTACAAAATCCAGAAAAGTAGCTATTAGGTGTTTGATGAATCCCTGTAATCCTTTTTTCCCTCTGATTTGTATTTCTGACAGGTTCACTGAGATGTGATTCACATACCATCCAAGTCACCCATTTAAAGTGGCTTTTGGTGCATTCACATAGTTGTACAACAATCATCAAAATCAATCTTAGAACATTGTCACCATCCTAGAAAGAAACCATTCTTCATTAGCAGTGATTATCAGTTTCCTTTTACCCCAACCCCAAGCAACTACTTTCTGTCTTTATAGATTTGCCTATTCTGGACATTTCATATAAATGGAATTATACAATGTGTCATCTTTTATGACAGCCATCTTTCAAGGTAGTATGTTTTCAAGGTTCATTAATGTTATAACAGTGTATCAGTGTTTCATTTCTTTTAAGGGAAAAGTAGTCTGGCTTATGAATATATACCACATTGTGTGTTTTCATCAGTCAATGGACATTTGCATTGTTCACACTTTTTAGCTATTATACATAGTGCTGCTAAGAACATTCGTGTACACATTTTTTGTTTGGACCTGTTTTAATTTATCTTGGTTATAAAACCTGGGAGTGGAGTTTTCTGGTTATATGGAAACCTGATATTTAACCTTTTATGAGATTGTCAGATTATTTTCTAAAGTTGTCCTGGGTTTTAAAACTGATTTTTCCTGTTAACTATATATTTCTTGCTTCTTTAGTCAAAATGAGATCAAATGCTGAATATGTATTAGCATATTATATGTAGTTAAATAACTATAACACAGATGTGGTAGTACAGGCCTGTAGTCCACTTACTTGGGAGATTAAGATGGAAGGATTGCTTTAGCCCATGCTTTAGCCTGGGCAACATACCAGGTCCACCTAAAAAAAAAAAAAAAAAAAAAAAGCCCTACTGTGGGTACATGTTAGGCAGATATTTTGAGGTTCATCAACCTGTGATGATTGATATCTCTCCATGTACATTAGGAATATTTTTTATTTTCCATCTGAGAAAATGATATATTACTGTAATGGAGAGTCATACTTTCTCCTCACTGTGACTTGTTCAAAATCACTTCTACTTGTTGGATTGTAGAGGACTTGCTTAGCATGGGTGAGTCCTTGAGGTTGATCCTCAACCACACACACACAAAACAACAACAACAATAACAAAAACCATAAAATCCCATATACTTGTAATGAGATAGATAGAAACATTTTTTTAAAAAATGTTTTGTGACTACTATGATCACCTATTTTGTGTTTATTTGTATATGTTCTTATATCTCTCAACATGGATATATTATGCCCATTTTCTCCCCCTCCAAATATGTTACATACATAATGTATATAAGGATGTAACAGTTTTGAAAATAATTGCATTTTGGTTTAAATATTAAAATGACATCTGTTTTCATTGGGAGGTGTTTGGAAAGAAGTATGAACCAGTGCTGTACAATGAATTTTAATTCTGTATGTCCAAAATACCATTACAACATGTGATCTGTGTTTAAAAAAAAAAGAAGAAAAGAAAATCAAAATTTTATATTATCCTAATACTAAGTTTTCAGAATCTAATTTGTAGTTGACATTCTCTTTTGGAGTAGCTGCATTTCATGGCTAGTGGGTACCTTAATGGACAGCATTATATATGTATATATAGAGAGAGAAAGAGGGGGGATACATATAGAGTGAGGTAATTGTAGCATTTTGGGGTTTGAGCTAACAGTTTTCTTGATTAATGGACGAGTACAGAGTCCTAGAGTTTATTTTAATCTGATCTTTAACTTTTTATGTGATAATGGAGGAAGTCACTTAGTCTTAGGGTTCTTTCCTCTGTAAAACTAGAGGTGCTTGACATCTGCTTCATGAGTGTTTTGAAGATTGATAGGTTAATGTTAGGGAGATGGTCTGGCAATTCTCTAAGCATTTTATCTTTAGCTTTTCTTTTTGGGGTTTTGAGGACTTTATAGGATTAAATGTAATTGATTCTGTCCCTTATTTGCAGTTGGCTCTGTTTTTTCTCTCTGTGTGTATATATAGCTTAAGTCACACTAAACTTTGTTACATTAAAGAGTTATTGGGGAATGCTTTTTAATACAGGGACATGTGATTGCTCACTGAATAATGTGGGCAACAGGGAATTAGTGACCCTTCTATAGTCATAATTTCTGAGTGTTAAAAGTTGAAACTGATTCATAGCTTTCAATCTGATATTCATTGCTCCCTTTCAGTATACCATTCTGGCTCCTCCAAAATATGGTCATGCTAACTTTCTTGGAACACAAAAGCATCAAAGGAAATATATGTGAGTATCCATTTGAAATAATTTTCAGGAATTGTCAGATGATATCCACCAGTGCTTGTCTTCTTCCTTGTAGTGTAGTAAAGGATCACAGTTACTAGCTTTGGAATAGTAACTATAGAGAGAGTGAACAGTTTGTTGTTGAGCTTGGGATTGAACCCAGGGATTGGCGAATTGCTAGACAAGTGCTTTATCACTGATTTGCATGCTTCCCCAGCCCTAGAGAGGGTAAACCTACAACACAGGAAATGGTTAGTAACCAAACTTGCAATAAGAAATTAATCAGGATAAAATTAAGTTCATTCAGCTTACTTTTTAGAGAGGACTTCTTTTGTAGCGTAAACCTGCATAGTTTCTATAAAAGTTCTGAGAGTATAACATGTTAGAAAAATAATTAGATCTTATGTAAAAATAAATTAAAATGCTACATAATTTGATTTTCCACACAAACTATGAAGTCTGCTTGAAATTTTTTTTTAAAAGTGTTTGGTTGACAAGAGTTTAATAAAATTAATCATCTATTTTGTTTTTTGGAAATAGCCTTAGTGATTTGTTGAAGTGTAGAGTGAAAAGCATTGTTAAGCTATTAAGTCTTGTTAACTTTTAGAGACTGATCTATCTCATCACAAATCTTGGAACATATTTACTGTACTTAAAATAACTATTGCCTAATTTTCAATATAATAGTTCAACCATGTGATGATATGAAATATCTGATGGAAATATAGTTAAAAACAATTATTTTTGTGCTTCCTGCCAGCTTTACTGATTTCTAAAATGACCAATTTCAGAATTGTTTCATTGATAATTTTCTTAGTGATATTAAGATGTCATTGTTTTTCTTATCACTAGTGTGTCAAGTGAATATTCAAAATTAAGAAGAAGTGTAGGAGTGATTTAGGTTTGAAAGAAGGGTGTTTTGTTTTGTGGTGCTGGGGATTGAACCCAGATCTTCATGCATCCTAGCATTGGTAGTTTTTAAACATTGAATCCTAATCACTGATAGGGTTCTTAAAATAGTTTTGGGTCCTTAAAATAGTTTTGGATGTTATCTGGAGTAGCATCTATTTGAATCCTATAAAGATGAAATGAGAGTATGTCATCAAATTTTAACCTTATTTGCTGACTTTCTTGTTCTCTGGTTTAGTTTTAG